TCCCGAGAGTGTAGTAATTCAAAATGTGGACCGAGAACCATAGGGGTTACAAGCGAAGCGGTGGTGGAGATAGTGGAGGGCAAGTTAGACGGTGGAAAATCGGGTGGACTCATCTAAACGTGTTGTGAAAAGCTTTGCAGTGCGGGAAATATTGAGTGCAACGTATGGAAACAATGTGATGGTTCCATCTTTGTCAAACGTGCTCTTCTCTAAATGTACTTCACACGCTGTACGCGCTTTGAAAATATTAAGGCTTTTATATATAATAATGATATATATATATATAGATATCTATATTATATATATGTTATATATATATAATATCTATTATATTAATTTGTATAATTTTAATTTGGATCATAATATATTGAATTAAATAAAGTTTTTGTTCAATACACCATTTTGATCATTATAATTTTTTGAATCATAAAAAATATAATAATTAATGATCATTAAATATTTAAATCAAAAAAGTTTTAGATCATAACAAGTTAAAGATCATAAACATATTGAATCATAATATTTTTGAATCATAAATATTTTGTATCATCTTTACTTGCATCATATTATGTTCAACATTTTTTTAAAAAACTTTTAATCTTTTAAAATCAAGTTTGGTATCTAAAACACCTTATTTTTAAATTTTTTTTACAAAGTCGTTAGAATAGTGAGTAGAAGTATTCTTTAAATTTTTATAATTTTTGGAAGAATTTTTTTCTAGGTTTTTTTAAATATAAAAAACAATATATATATATATATATATATATATATATATATATATATATATTATATATATATATATTTCAGATTTTCATGATTGTGCTAATTTTGTAGAGAATTAAATTTTAAGAACTTTGGTTTTTTCATATTTTTTTTCAAAGAAAAAAAAATTATGGACGAAAACTAAACGGGTGGGAAAAAAACCCACCGGCCAATAAGGGTTGGACACTTGTCATGCTGGGGGTGGAGGCACGTACGTGTCAGCTCTTAGAGAGGCCGTATGGCCGAATTTTCATTTTCTTTTTTCTTTTTTCCTTTTAATCTTTTTGCTTTTGTCACTTGTATCCTCAAAACAATTAACCTTCCCCGTAAATTATCAAAATCTCGCAATTAATTACGAAAATGTCATATCATCTCGCGAGATTTTGACGATAAATAAAATCAAATCCTGACCATTTATTTTTTCAAATTTAAGGCAAGAAATTGTCCTCGCTGTTCCTGCCATTTTTTGAGTTCTTACCTGATCCTACTTATATATATATATATATATAGATATATATATAATATATATTATATATATATATATACACACACACACACACACACGATCAATGAAAATTTTATACCCGATGGCTCTATCCGTACACACAATAACTAATGATTGATCAGTTTACTTTTTGAACTATCCAACCACAACAAAACAGCTCGCACCGTACCACATAATACGGTTTACAAACTTCGTGGTGCGGTTTGTGGTTTCGAAAGTCTTAAACCGTACATGCGGTGCGGTTTTGACCCTAAACCGCATCAAACCGCACCGCGCAGACCCCTAATTCAAATATAAAAACAAGGGTAAATTACACGAATGGTCCCTGTGGTTTTGGGTAGTCTGCACGTTTGGTCTCTATAAAGAATTTTTAACTCGGACCATCCTTAAAGTTTGTATTTGTTTCGAGTTTCGTTCCTGATCGAGTTGAAATGACTTTTTTGGCCCTGGTGATATTTTTTTAATCTTTTTAAACTCTTATTTTAATTATTATATGAAATTAATTTATTAAACAAACACACTCTACCTCTTCCCTTTATCCCTCTCCAACCCACATATTCCCTGCAACTCCCCCATAGACTCGTCGTCACTACCTATTCTCATTGGAAATGTCGTCATCACCTCCCACCGCTCATGAAATCCAGAACCACCCCATCACATCCATTCCCTCATTTATCCAAAACTTGTAAAAACCTCGCAAACAAGAAACCCTACTGGTACCTCGACATCTCACCTAAAAAGATTCCCAATCGTCGACTTACAGCTCTACAATCTAAATAATCCATGGTGTACTGGTGTTCTTTTAGGTGGAGAGAATTTGGTGGGGGGGGGGGGGGGGGGGGGGGGGGGGGGACGTGATACGGTGAAAGATTTGAGTGGCAGGATGATGGCAGATTAAAGAGAGGTAGAAGAGGGACGTCTGGTACTTTAATCAGAGATAAAACATTGGGGGTGGGGTGAGGACTACATATACTTTTTATCTAATTTTTTTCCAAAAAGAAAATAATAAACAATAAGAAAGGGTATAAATATCATTTCATGTCTTGTAGGGACCGATCTCAAAACAAAACCAAACCATGGGTACGGTCCGAGTTAATATATATATATATATATATAGATAGATAGATATAATATATAGATAGATATATATATATATATAGATATATCATACATACTTATAAAGCTAACATTTTTTCTTGAATCTATGCATTGGAAAACCCCAGTTGGAACTTCCTCAAACCACATTAACCCCATTTTCTAACTAATACAACTAAAAAGTTTTCTTAATTATGATTAACACTCAAAAGTTTTATAACTTATATTATGTTTTAATTAGCATTTAGTGAAAAAGTTTATTATAAAAAAGACCAATCTTTTGGGAAGACATGCATACAAATCATATACAAATTTGAGAAAGAAAACAAACTTAAAGGTTTTTGTGTTAGGTTGAGGTCTTATGACCACTTTTGGAGATATGCTATCATATTAGAGCGTTTTAGTTTGATAGGGTGTATACTATTCGTTTTATATTTTCTTCGGGGATTATTGTAATACAGTCGTGTTGGATATTGTGGTTTAATCGTTAATATATTGAGCAGTGATCAATGTTATAGAGGGCAATGTCGAAAATAGTTAATTAAATACTTTAAAATAGGTTTTTTTTGTTTTGTAATTGTACCGTGTCAAAAAAGATAATTAAGAAAACTCATACATATGTATACTTTCCATCTCTCGCTCTCTCTCTCTCTCTCTCTTCTATATATATTATATATATATATATATATATATATATATATATATAATAGAGGTCAAAACACTTGAACCAAAATTCATTTAAAATCTAATATTTCAAATGTTTTTTAACAATTATTGTAAAAATTTCAACAAGTGTTACTTAATTGATTGATTAATAAAAATATTAATGTTTTGAAACTCCTAACTCTTAAACTTATATTATTTAATTTGTTAGTTAACTAAAATATTTTTCCTACATAAAGATAATATATTTTTATTTTTGGTTACTCATATTTGTTTATGTAATTAGAAAACAAGGTGTACATAGAATGACTACTTCAATTTCACATAGGAATCAATATCACTAGAGAGGTATGTTATCTTTAACCGGTGGTAGGAGATCCACATACCCTTTTTAATAATTTATATTAATGCTTAGTAATATCTATTTTATATTCCTATTCACCTTAATTTTTTAGGTACAAATTAAGGAAGAGGATTCTCGACGCACCAACATAAAGTCAAACGTACGCCTTGCAAAATATGTAATTAAAATTAAATATCATATTTACTAATCGACTTATTTTAAAACTCTTGATGACATTTATGTATAATGATATATTTTGTATGACTTCATTCTTAATTTCAATGTTTAATATTTGAAAGTTCATATATGAAACCTTAGATGTTTTGGTGTAATATAAATAGTGTAATACAAAGTTTATTAGTTCAATATTGTTTATTAATAGCTCATTCAAAACACTTATTCCTTATTTTATCCAAAAAATATTATCGGACATAAGAAAAGTAGATTATATTAATGTTATACAAAAACTTGGTATATATATTGGATATTATAAAAGTAAAAGTAAAGTTTATAAGGTATGGAACTATATTAGATAGTATCAAAATATAAATTGATGGATTTTTATGTTATTTAATAATTCGGTTAATACCCAAAAGATGACTAAAAATATAAATTTCAACATATTTCTATTTTTTTCCCATAATTATTTTAACCACTTAAATGCATTCTTGCGCAACGCACGAGGATTCGCCTAGTATATATATATATATATATATATATATATATATATATATATATATATATATTATATATATAAAGAGAGAGAGAGAGAGCGTACAGACTACCGAAAACCACAGAAAACCACAGGGACAATTCATGTAATTTACCCTAAAAACAAATTAGGAACATTAAGAATGGCCAAGTGAATCGTCTTGTGCTCAAATGGAATTTAATTGAAAATGTCATGTATAAATTTGTTATTTTGAAGAGTAAAATAGAAAGATATTTTAAAATATAAATTCGTTGAAAAACTAATTTGTAGACTTTTAAAAATCTAGCTTATAATCTATATGAATGAGCTTTCCTTTAATCCTTTATTACTTACATTTCATGTGACGTTATCAGTTATCTTTTTCTTTGCTCATTTGATCTATAATAGCTTTGGTAATCATAAATTATCAGATATTCAAATGAGATATTATACAAATATTATGTACTAATTCAAACTGCAGGACATTTAAATATTATGCTATACAACCTGGGTTAGTACAATTTATTATGTTAACTATAGTTATTCAATATAAAATAGTTTTGATATCGAAAGTCCAAACTCCAAACGCCTCTTATTAAATTGAACCGGTTTATCTATACCGAACCAAGAGTTTTGAGATAAGTTTTATTTTTTTAAAACTGAAACCGTTTTTTTTTCTATAAAAAGGAACAGAACCGGATTTTAAACCGAAGAAACCGATTAATCAAAATTTAACTTCCAAAAAACCTTTAAAAACCAAGCCCATTATATCCAAAACCAGTTTTTTTATAACCGGTGTTTGTGCACCTCAAACACTGATTTGTTTTTTTTAACCTGAACCGGTTTATAATTGGTGACTCGCTGCTTGATCCAGTTACAAGAGCCCAAACGCACGATAGGCCCATAAATTTGCAACATAGGAGGACCGAGGTGGTTTTTGCCGGTTGAAATCAGGAGGAGTGGGGGCTGTCTGGCTGAGCAAATAGAAATAGAAATGGCGAAATCTTGTAAAGGTTTGGCTATGGAATTGGTCAAGTGTCTCAGTGAATCTGATTGCGTCAAGGTACTTGTTACTTTCTGTTCATATAGGCATGTGTATTTGGTCGATCATGTTCGGTTTGATGTCTAGACTCCGTGATTGATTCGAACATGTACTTTAAGTAGATTGAAGATCCTAATAAACGCAGTAACTGTTCTAAATTCAGATGAATAACACTATGTGTTACATGACATTTTCATTTGGATGTCTGAATTCCGTGATTGATTTAAACATGCTCTCAGTAAATTAGAAACCCTAGCAAATTTCGAAACTATAGCAGATTATAACGAAGAGCGCATTGGAGATGTTCATGTTCTCTTTGATGTCTAAACTCGGTGATTGATTTGAAATTGTACTCCACTAGATTGGAGATAGAGAATCGGCCTTTTAGATTCTAAGTTGTGTATGTAATGAGACATTTGTTTTGCAGGTAGAGAATCGACCTTTTAGAGAATGTGCTAAAGAGAAGAGCCCCGTCATTTCTAGTGAATGTGTTGGACTCAGAGAAACATATTTCAACTGCAAGAGAGGCCAGGTATGTCATATAATCATCCTCCTGTGATTTATGAATAGGTTCTTTCTTTGAATCAGAGTAAGCAAGGTTTCATCCCAAAATAAATTTAATTGCATTGATACATATCCCATTTTTTCAAATCAAACAAAGATCAAACTTATGGCAATGATGAATAGAATATGTCATAGAGCCACATTAACATGCTCATAGCCAGGGATAAGTAGGTGCAAAGTGCAAACCTTCAAAAACAATTGTAGTGTTTTGCGATATAAAAAATAAAATAAAATAAAAATTGTATTGTAGTGCACCCCTCGAAAGATTTTATGGTAGTACATAACTGAACCTCTGTGTGTGTGTGTGGCAGGTTGATATGAGAGCTAGGATTCGTGGAAATAAAGGTTACTAATCTCTGCATGTTCTTGGAAATTTTTTTGCAACATTAAAATTAGTTGGTAGTCTTTTGTATTTAATTACGAACCATGAAACGTTAGTTGTTAAAAATACTAAATATTGTATTTTGTAAAACAAATGTTGAGGAATAAGTAGGCATTTGAGCTGCTTGAGCACTGAATTATGTACACTGGGTCTGAGGCCAAAAGAAGCCATATTGAGGAGTGTAATGTAAGGGTGCTGTGGTGTGGTTTCTGATGAAATCTGAATGTGAGATTCCATTTTGGGGATTTAAGTTTGTTGATGCATAATGCTTGATTATTTTGTTGTTAGTTTGCATATATACTTACATGCGACCCAACTAGAAAATCTGGGGTTTTGAACTTAGATATTAGACATTGGGGGTTATGGTTTCCCTCCGACCCTTTGCATTCTACAACACCTTCCCAAATTTTATGTGGAGAATGAGGATGGTTTTGAAATCCATGATCTTGGATTCTTAGGGTGCGTTTGGTTACATAAAAACGAATTGTTTTTGATTTTTACTTCAAGAAAAATGAAAAATTTTGAAAACTGAGTTTAGTTTAACTTTTTTTTTTCATAAATTTTTTCCAAGAAATAAAATTTTCTGTTTTTCGAAATTACAAAAAAACATGGATAACAACTTCAACTATCTTAAAATATTGGGTTTGAAAATGGATAACCAATAATTAGACAAAACTATAAAAATGGTCTATGCGGTTTAACAAAAGTCATAAGCTCAGTCTCTCCTAATTCTTTTTGACAAACATGGTCTTTGTGGTTTCTAAAACTTATGTGAATGACCCTTGT